TTATAGTAGTACTTTCGGATATTTACGGTCGCAATAAGATACTTTCATGAAGAGACACAATCGTTTATAATTCTTTGATATCGATCCTTTCCGACCTTGGATGAACCGATATTATCTTTTGATTCAGGGCAATCGATTCTCTATGCTATACAATATATAACATGACGAATACCTTTCCTATTATATCAAGGTAGCATCTGTTCCTCAGCTGCTCTTATTTTTTTTTCGATTTATATATATATATATATATATATATATAGAGAGAGAGAGAGAGAGAGAGAGAGATATTAGCTTCTTCGTTACAAGACTTATATGGAGATGACTCAGACTGTTAGAGGTGTAACTTGTAGATTCTTGAGGCATTGCAAAACCCAGAGTTCATTTTGCTCTGCTGCTTTCACTTCGCTGATTGCTGTTCAGCCTCGCGTCCAACTCCTTTTCAAGGATATAGCAGCTCATCCTGTCCTCTGACTTTAGTGTGTAATCTGTCCGGGTATTAGCGATTTTGGTACAAAGAGATATGAGTAAGTTAAGTTCTTCCTTGTCGTCCACGAAGGCTGATTGAAAATCTTATTTCAATGTTTCTCTTATAGCAAAATAATTTTCTGGCTTTAGAATACTACAGAAAAGGGTAATGATTAAATGATTAAATAGGCATTTTTGTTTTATTATTATCACATTTATGATTAATCTTAGGGAATATGTCTAATTCACATTGCCTGGTGTTTCAACATCAACATAAGTAAAATGAAGCCAGATCAGTATGGTTAATTGGTGTAGAGACCACCTTGATTGAAGTCTTTTTCTGTCTTAAGACTGTCATTCCTGACTGACCGTGTCGATTCCGCTTAAGAAAGAGTGGCTACACCATTCTTACTTGAATAACAAGCCAGATACCACTATCGATAGATACAAAGAAGCCACTTCAAAACAAAATCGATTCCCGTGCTTTGAAGATCGATTTCAAAAGGATCTAATTCCGAAGAGACCAGTGTCAGTAAATGTGACAGTTGTGCAACTGAATCCTTACTCATTTAGACTTACGTAACTCCAACGAAAGCAGTTCACCTTTCATTGTTGTTAATCAGCTTCGTTTCTAGTGATAACGAAAAATGGACGTTTTGGTCTATCAATGTGTGTATAATAGGCTATGAATAAGCCATGTGTGGGTATATATTCATTAAAAATATCAAAAATATTTTTTCTATATTATCTTAAGTGCCCAAGGTATCATAGAGCTATTTTCCTCCATTTACTTTTTCAATAGATCTTCAGTTCATACAAGACTATCGTAAACAGCATTTATTAATTTTTTTTATTTATTTTTTTTATGTTTTGGATAAGTGGCCCATCACAACCGTACTAATTCAGAGGATTTCGGTAATAATTACGGTTTAACCTCGAAAACGGTACATTTTCCGGCTTTGAGACGCAGAACCCGTATGGAACTATAACATATTTTGGTTACCTTTCTGCAACTTATTAGTAGATTTTTACTTTCCTATCTATACTAGTTAAGTAAAGTATTACGATCGGTAAAAATTTCCGATATGCTGTTCGACGGATCTATCCGTTTCATAACCTCCTATGGCTAAAATACTCATTATCATTCATTGGTCTGTCTACTAGCGGATCCAGGTTTTAATTTTTTTTGGGGAGGGGGAGGCGCTTCAGCCCTAAAGCTTTCTTTTCATATATGTAACGATAATTACTTTCTAAAAAAAAAAACAGAAAGATAATAACTAGCGATGTGAAATGATGTTTACGTGATTCTTGAATTCCTTTTAAATATAACTACTCGAACAATAATACATTATGAGATAATTTTTTAATATTTATAACTATAAAATATGGTTACATTCAGCCCGAAAGCTTCTCTCTCCCTCCCCATAGATCCGCCTATGGGTCGGTCTGTATATCTGTCTGTCGATTCCAAGTTCATCTTGGGAACTGATAGACCAATTTTGTTACTATTTTTTTTTTATTTTGTTTTACTTGTTTTTTACGTTAGTTGTATGTTTTTTTTAGTATGGGTACATTTGAATATATGTTAAGAAATCTATTGAATTGATTACATACGTTTATTTAAAGGTTTGAGATAATGAGATGATTTCACAATACTTGGATGCTTAATCACGTAAAATTGGAACGATGCACATGAACAAATCATAAAATGCTAGTACATGTTGCTAAATTTAATTGAACTTTGAATATTAATTGAAATTTCAATAATAGGAACATATAGGGTAGTCAAATAGTTGCCTATTCACTTCTAGCCCTTAGCTTAGACATCTAGTCAATATAGTATAGTTGATTTTGATGTTTTTTATTTTTTTTCGAATTATTGTGGGGGGAAAGACGAAACGATATTCTCACCCCTCTCTCTCCAGCGAAGTCCCTATATTATATTATATATATTTATTGATAAATTAATAACTGAAAACTTGTTAAAATATTAATGAAGATAGTGATTTTAAGTCTAACATTGTGTTGTTCTCAATATAGAACCCTGTACTATTATCTCCTTTCGACTAGTAATAGAGAGAGAATGACTCAGTACTGACTTTTGCTTCGGTTTCGCCATTGTATAGTTCCGACTCGGCAATCGATTATCCTTCAATAAGACGATGTTTTTCTTTTAATCGAACTCAACGTCGCCACTGAAGGTTCGTTCCCGAACGAGTGATTCCGTTCTTGCTCCAGTTGCAGCGAGGATCATTACCTCGTAATGGCCGGCCGGAAAGGAGGTCGTGTAAGAGCCGACAACATCCACTATAAGGACTCTTGCAGTTCACAATTACAGCTAATGGGTCAATTAAATTTATCGCATTACCTATAATTATCAATTAACTTACTATATATATAATTAAATTTGTCACCGTAATATCAATTGTAATAAATGCATCGTAGCGTACTAATAAAACTTAATTCAGCAGAACCAGACCCCTTTTTATCAAATTATTAACATCTGCCTGAAACTTCGTAAATAACTTCATCTATTCATAACCTACAAGAATTTTACTTACAAATATTCTCGAAATTGGGATGTCAATCTGGAAATCGGCTAACAGGCTCTGTAATTTTTTTTTTTTTTTTTATAGTATTACAACAGTCTGTCACATAATATGATCCTCGTTATAGTGAGGTAGAATAACTTTCACACTATATGTACAAAAAATATAAAATAAATAGAAGAAAAATATTAATCAAAAAGTATATACAATAAATAAAATAAAATAACCTAAAAATAAGAAAATTAGGTACTAAAAACTTATGAATATCCATTTGCTTTCAGCTTGAATTGTAAAATAATATGATCAAAAAATACAAAATTTGGCATAACCTCAGTCCCAAAATAACGAGGTTATATGGGCCAAACGGCTTGATTAATTTTATAGGCCACTTTTTTTTTCTATTTTGTCTTCAAATTATGTTACGATTCAATTGGAAAGCAAGTGGTATATGTACATAATATTGTCGAAGTCCTTATTATATTAAGCTCATGGGTGGGAACCTTTTCTAATCTTCGTAGATGCTCTCGTATCGCTTTGGTTCCTTTAGAAATATTTTCTGTTACGATCTCTTATTTCTCCTTTAGTTAATTATCAAATTCTTTCATATTTTATACTTAACTATTTTTGTATCAAATATTATTGTGAAATGGTTAATTATTTAAAAATAAAATAAAAATAAAGGTACTTTAGCTAATATAAAGCTAATATTAAAAATTAGCCATTCAAGACCTGTTTGATAACATCAATGAGAATAAAACTGCTTAATTTTACATTAATTTAATCAATTTAAACAAAATCGTTAAAGCCGTTTTCGAGAAAATCATAAAAATGTGTTTGCTCTATTAAATAAAGTGCCACTTCCGGTTATCCGATTTTGATGAAAAAGTTGCTGTTATATCCTGAGCTTATAAAAACCTTAAATATGCAATTTCACTTTCATACGTCTTCTCGTTTTTGAGCTAGACCTGTCACAGACACACACGTACACACAGAGACCATTTTGCTGGACCTGGTTATTTGGACCATTGGCAATACTTTCCCTTACTATATACTTCATATATAGTTAGGTCAAAGTAAAAAATAATACATTATAAACACGTTATACTATACTACACGTTCTTGTCTTCCAGTTGTGAACTAAGTTTATTAATGAAATATCTTAAATTTGTGAACAGGCTATTTTCCTATTGATTCCTCTTCCATTTTCCTTTTTCTACACTCTTCTATTATTGTAATTTTCTTCTGTTCGTATGCTCTTGTAATTTGCCAATCACTAAATAATTTTGTAATTAATACAATTAATACCGTAAACTGGGAGCTAAAATGAAATTACTTGGCTGGCTAAAATAGTACTTAGATAATTTTGTTTTAGTCTTGATATAACTATCTTCTTAAGTTATACTTAAGAAATATGTAGTTAATATGTAGTTCGTCCCGTTTTCAGTGGGTATTTCGTTCAACAATTTCGGTTCTGTTAAGTCAGTAAAGATTTCTAATTTACTCCAATTTCAATATATATATGTGAAACGGTGTCTTTCATTTATTTCATCATAGTAAAACGGAAAAATGTAGAAACATTTTCGGTATCCCTTATCAAATTTTCAAAAACCTATAGAATTCAGAATGAAAGAACTACAATGACATTGTGCAGGGATGTGTGTTTCTTGCCAAAAACGCAAGACACGTCCTTCCTGGACGACTCCTGTCGTGTTACTAATCTTAAGAGATTTATTTCAATCTTTAAAACTAAATAAATAGTGGTAGATGCTAGAATATACGAGTGCAGGAGAGATTCCCGCTTCAAATGAGCCCCTTCTCCAGCTTTAAACTATTCCCTACACTTAAGATTCTCAAATAACTGCAATGGATGCAGAAAACTGGAGCTTTTACCCTAATCCCGGTTAACGGTATTAAAAAAAATAAATATATATATATATGTGTGTCAATAATGAAGTCAGAATCCCATAGATATCCTATATAAGAAGTATGAATAATTCATGTAGGATTGGATTTACGCCGGTGACATTGGCTTGCCGTGTTAGCTCGTCCCATCCTCCATCCTCTCGATGGAGCGATATCGGCGGGGGCGGCCATCTTGGGGACGGGGCCAGCTGGCAAAGTGGGCCACTGGTGGGGGCGGGTCGTTGCCCCCGTGACGTCACCGCCGTGACGCAACCCGCATTATTGCGTCACCGGGGCCTCAGGTACGTGTTTGGCTACCACCTGTTCTAGTGTGTGTGTTAATGTTTGTGTTTATACCGGTGGCTGTGTGGACCACCAGGTTAACGCTCCTTTAATCGATTGTTGGCCGATTCTTTACTCATCCGAAATACTAAAAAAAAAAAAAATGTTTATTAAAACCATTTTTTTATTGAGCAAATTTTCATTTCGTCACAACTAAGGACATTAGCAATAGTGATAGATGGAGTTCATTCATACTTAATGCACAATAAATAAAAATATATTCGATATAATAACATCAAAATTATTATTTTAATATATATAATGTATAGACCGCAGTCATTAAGTGCAGGAATAGTCGATAACGTCCGGCGGTTTCTAATCGTTTCAGTCTGGTTTAAACGATGTTAAAGTGTAACCTTACATAAGGTTACTTCTAACATAAAACAAATACTTCTTCTGAGAATAGCAGTGTACTGATTTTGTTTTGTACGATTGCCATGACGACTACAAATATGATTCCATCTGAAGAAAGTATATAATCAGATGGAGACTTATTAAATCATATCAATCGGTTTTTCACTTACAGAAAAATTGCTCTGTCTTTCGCTTGTTTCCATCGTCTTTACAATAATTATCAAGCGATAATCAATAAAATAATTAAAAAAAGACAGATTTTTTTTTTGTTATCTCACCTGTAACTTCTAAACGATGCATCAAAGCGAAAAATGTACTGTTTAATGAATTAAACAATGTTAAAGTGTGTATTGTGTATCGAAGGTAACTAAACCTAATAATTCGGTTAAGTAATATGGTAGAAAACCACCGTCAACCAGCGCTGATTTTTACCTACTTTGTCAAATTACTATAAATGGCCCTATATCTTAGAAATGAGTTCTTTAAGAGGAAAACCACATATAATAAAAGTTGTACAGCATCAAATTTTTCGTCCGCTGAGTACCAACTATTTTAATGTAGGTCACTTACTCCAAACAAAATTGGTTATCTCCCGATGGTTAGAAATTGAGAAGAAAAGTATACGAGATTTTCCATATTTCAACAGTATGGATATCTATTCTACTGAGTCATTTTTGTTTAGAGTCTGTTACATGCAGTATGAGCATCTTTTCCACCTCTCAGCAGCGAAGGATTTTGATAAATGATGTGTCGAAAGATATATAATTGACCTAAATTAAAAATTTCAGTACTCAATCTACGCAAAATTTGATGCTCTAAAACTATGATTCTATGTATTTTTACTCTTACAGAACTCATTTCCAAGTTACAGAGCCATTTATAGTAATTTGTCTAAGTGGACCCTGGCTCCAGAGTTATAAGAGCTCAACATCTCAGTGCCTTTCTCAGCCACCATTTCCATTCTGTCTCTCATCAGTAAAATTTACTTATTTTTTCTTTCTTGTTCGGATTACCAGAAGTTTTGGATCACTATGAGTTCAGATTATCGAGACCATCCTGTAATTGAAGCTTCCCCAATTTCTTGTATATCCTATCCTGATTTTTTTTTTTTTTTTTGTTTTTACTCAAATGTCAAAGCTTTGGTTGATTTCATTCATAATCAAGCTGTAGATGTATTTCGTCATGTATTTTTATTTTTCATAAATTTCTCCAAAGCCAGTATCCTTGGGAGCTGATATAATCGAACACGATTTTATATTTTGTAGTTCCGTAACCATCCTCTTGGTGGAACTGATGGGCCAATTTTGTTAGTTCTCTTTCAGCTACCTCTTCAGGGGGGGGGGCGCCCCTTCTTATCCTAGTTCTTCCTCTTCTCCAGGACCGTCCTGGAAAAGCAAGGAAAGTTGGAGTTATAAAGGCACGGTGACGAATCCTTAAATGGTTGACGGTTTTTCGGCGAGTCGAAACTCCGGTTGTTCTACATTTAAGGACATTGTGTTTATGGATGATATAATACTTTACAAACTATATTGATAGTTTTTAAAGTAAGTAAAATTTTTAACGTAAGTATAAGTATGAATATATGAATTCCAAATAATTGAAGGCTAACAGGCGGATCTACGGGGAGGGGGGAGCTTACAGACTGAAGCCCCCTCTCTCTCCAAAATAGGAAAATATAATCATATTTTACAGAAAAAAAAATTAAAAACTATCTCTTAAAGTATTCTTGATCGTGTAATTACATTTAATAGGACTTCAAGAAACACTTAAACACCATTTAATATAGGTAGTTAATTTCTTTCTTTTTTATTTAAATTAATTATGGTTATATATGTATGAAAAAAAAATCTTTCGGGCTGAAGCCCCTCAAAATTAAATCCTGGATCCGCTAATGTATAGATTTGAATCGTAAGATAATTTGATCACAACATCGAGAAAATACCGTGGCTTATACAAATCCTTCACCCTCAATGTGTCAATATAACCATAAGTTATATAGGCCAAACGGCTCTATATTTTTGTAGGCCATCTTCTTACTCCATTTTATGATCAAATTAACGGGAAAAGCATCTGGGTATTCGTGAATTTTAGTATCTAAAATATTTTTTAACATTTGTATATTTCCTGTAATCTTTGGTTCCATTAATATTTTGAACTCGGCCAATTGTTTTTTATAATAATAATATAATTGTTTTGAATGATTATGTTATGGTATCTATAATTTTATTGAAGGAACTTAGTCGACTGTCCTAGATATCATGGGTGATAAACGTCATTTTTAACGTTTTTATTAGTGCAAACGTTTCAACCCAAACATATGGATCATCATCAGGGCGTGTTTCGAGCATCGAAGGTATTCTAGTGTGCACATATGTTTGGATTGAAACGTTGGCATTAATAAAAACGTTTCTGACATGACAGCGTCCTGACTATTTATCACCCACCTATAATTTTTATTTTCGCTTACTTACATATAATAATAGTTTAAACATATAAATATTTCTACTCAAGTCATAATTTATTATTCAATCTTATAAGTTAATGCAGTATAAAAATTAAAATTTGTATAAAAGCACTTGAACAAATAAAAATATACTGGTTTCCGTCTCTAAAACACAGATAAATCCAATATCTATCAATAAAAATAAGTCTGTAAAGAAAACAGACCCAAGACCACATCGCTTCATGGTTTGCTCAAGTATGTGACTGAAAGTAATATTAGGTGGTGTGATCTTGGGATTGTTTTCTTTTCTCTCCTGGTGATGTCTGATTCGTCGATATGTTGGTAGATTATTTTATTCTTTACCAGTATTTTAGATACACGAGGCTGTGTTGTTGAAATCCTTCCAACTATAAGTTATCATTAAATAAATACTGAAAATATATAGTCCTAGAGGGAAATGGACAGTGATAGAAAAACATATGGCTACTGTTAGTGCAAAAGGTGTCACAAGTAACATTTTTTCCTAAAGAGGTTCTAAGTAACAATTTTTCTTTATTTTTCTATTTTTGCTAAACGTGACATTTTGTTGTCTGCAACTGTTATAAGTAGTCTGCTACTATGGAAAATAATATAAAATAACATACGAAATTATACTAATAAATCACAAAGAAACAATTAATTTGTATGCTCTCTTGTAAAAAAAAACTCAATTTTTTAATGGTAATTAATTATTTTAAATGATAAATTATTACTTTCTCTTACCTATATATATAAATACCTATACCTAATCAAAAAAGGTTCTAAGGGAAAGATGTGTGATGTGCGCACCTCAGCAAATTTTTTTAACGTAATATTAATATTCTATACCATTTAAAAACTCTTTTGTTAAATATTTTTTTTATTTCAATCAATTCGTCCACATTTCTAAATGTTTAAACTTAAATGACGCGAATAATATTGATATTTGTATTTTATAAACAAAGATTGTTGATATTGTCAACAAATATTGTTGATTGTAAATGTTGTTATTGGCCGTTGAAGAGCGGCTCATTATAATTTGGCACTGGGACAAACAGATCGATATGGCACGACCTCTCGAACCTCTCAATGGGATTTCCTAATTATATATTTCCAATATATAAATACAATATTTGTATTAATGTATTAATTAACATTTTTAGCTATTATTCTGGAGTTAATTAATTACTCAAATTTTGCGGGTTTTATTTCCTCCTTGATACAAATCACTTTAATATTATTAAACATGAGCTATATATTTATTTTACTAAATCTGATTCGACGATAAATATAATGCTTACGTTACGTTTTTCTCTCTTTTTTTTTTTTTTTTTTTTTTTTTTTATTATTCCTTTCAAGTGTTTATATTTTAAGTTGAATTCATAAAATCGGTTTTACCTCGAATCGCTCTTGGTATCTTTCCGCCGTAAAAGTACACGGTCAACGAACCTCATCGAAGTAATATCGGTGTTGTTTTTTTTCCCTTTTACCCTTAAAGGTTTTTTTTTTCTCTTTTTTTCAGAGAGGCCATTTGTTTTTTTAACCGTGAGGTTTTTTTAATATTAAATTTTGGATTCAAGGAAAACTGGCACGAAAATAAAAGCAAGAAAAAAATGTGATTAAAATATTTTCTTTAGTGAAAAATAAATATTGTTTTATGCTCGGTAAACATTTTTTATTCGTATGTATATATTTTCTGTCTCTCTTCCTTTTATATCATATATATATATATATATATATATATATATGAGCCAAATATTATTTATCTCAAAAGTGTAATTTTATGTTGGTTCATGTTTCAATTTGTGTAGACAGTATAGGGGTTGGATTGCTGAAATTAAACATTTGTGAAATAACGAAAGATTATATGAAAAATAATGAATATAAACTAAAGAAATTAATATTAATGCAATAAATGTAAAATTTCTAAAGAAAGAGAGAGAGAAAAATTACAATTTTTGAGGATTGAAAATGAAATAATTCTGCCTCTATATTAAAACTATGTTGTTGGGAATGTGGACTTATTTGGTTTTTAAAAATGATGTTGATTTCTCTGAACTCCTCTATACTTTCTCCACCAGGCTGTATTACTTTGGTTTAGAACATCGTAGTTCTTTAACAATGTCTGGTAAAAATAAATTAATG